TGGAAAAAAAACACATACATATGCACACATATATAAGTATGTAGATACATATATGTAGGTATATTTATACATATATACATATATATAGGTGTATTTATTGATATGCATATAGATAATGTATACACATCCATACTTACATATAAATAAATAGCTAGATATAATATTTACAATGTGTATATGTGTTTGTGTAAGTATATATATATATTTCTTTTATATGTAACATATTTTATATGTTATATCACACGCTCACATATATGTATATACATATGTATAAATGTAGGTATGCATATAAATATATATACATATATAAGTATATATATAATGTACATACATTCATACTTACATTTAGATAGATACAAAATTTACATATGCACATGTGTGTGTGTACACACATATGTATTTATACATGAATATATACATATATGTACAACTAGGAAATATATATACATATACATGCATATGTACACATACGTATATGTATACATATCTATGTACATGTACATACAAGTGTATATATATATGCATATATATGTATACTATATATACAAATATATATATATACATACATATATTTATACATAACTATATATACATACATATATGTACATATATATATATCCCTCGCCTTAATATCGATTATATATCGAAACAGCAGTTACTAAATTTTCAGGTAAAAGAGGAGTGGAGTTGAAATGCAATTTTATAATTCACGATAAATAATGTACATTACAGGTCTTCGAATTATGCATAGCTAGGAGTGGTATGGTAGGAAGGAGTAGGAGCTGGTTGGTAGGAAGGAGCGGGGGCGGGTTGGTAGGAGCGAGAAGGGGCAGGTTGGTAGGCTGGGTATTGGGCCTCTCCTTCGTAAGTAACTTCGGCAACGTATCCGGAGTCGCCGTTCACGGTGTAAGCAACCCTTTGTACACGGCCATCGGGAAGGAGAACATAGTAAGCTCCCTGAGTATCATATCCATTACGATTTTCCTGATGATTGTAGTCGTTGCCAGAGTAGTCGTCTCTCACTGCATAGTTGAAGTCGTACTGAGCGGGTCCCTGTTAGAAACAAAAAAAATGTGCTTATTAATCATTCATCTGGATTATTTTACGTTCAGCAATATAATTTCAAATATGCAGTAAAAGGATCACTGCATAATTGAAACTGTACTGCGCAGGGTAGTTAAAGAAAAGAGCGAATATATTAATATTCAACATTCTAGAAATATATGACATATAAAGCTGGTTCAAAGTTTATGATAAACATATAGAGCTACCAATACTGCAGTCAGAAAAAAAGTATCTGGTATTTCAAGCAACTTTTACCAACTGATTATAGAATTTACACTGATGGTCCGGAAACCTAAGGAGCTACAAATCAGGAATATATTTCAGCGTAAACAGACTTACAGAAGGGGCAGGAGCGTTGTAGGAGGGAGAAGGAGCTCTGTAGCTCGGAGCAGGGGCACTGTAGGGTGGTGCCGGAGTATTATATGATGGAACTGTGCTGCCAATGGCAACTGCCACCATGGCGAATAACACGAAAGCCTGTATAACAAACGAAAAGAAAAATATTGAATTTCCCTAGCCACTCTAAATGTTCCTTTTCCTTTTTAGTTTCACATTAATCATTATATAACCAGCACCATTGTGTACCTGAGGAGACATGCCAGTGGAACTGAGGAGAGAATGAATGCTGAAGGTAGGTAACCTGATGGCCGTTTTATAGGCGGGGTTCGGCCCTCAATGTGACGTAACCGCTCCAGGGGAGCCAAAAATAATCACGGTGGGAGAAAACAGATATCTTTTGATTTCTAAGTTTTTAAAGGGGACGGGAATAATTCACAATATCCGGGCAATTCCAAGTAAAAAGACCAGTCCACTGGTTTAATTTACATATATCCATGTGTATGTGTATATGTATCGATATGTATATATATAAATACACACATGTATATGTACATGCATGAATATATGTATAAATACACACATGTATATGTACATGCATGAATATATGTATAAATATATATATATATATATATGTCAGGTGCGTACATATTTATGTGTGTATATATAAAACAAATAAATGTATAAATGGATATATAAATTGGTATTGATATATGTTTACATAATATATATATTGTTTACATAATATATATGTATATATACATAAATATACATGTATACATAGAGACATGCGAACATATATACAAATATGTGTGTGCATATATATTTATATATAAGTACACACATATATACATATGTATATATGCATCTATATATGTATGTATATATGTGTGTGTTGTGCGTGTGTGTATGCCTGTGTGTCTGTGTGTGTGTGTAAGTGATTATATATATATATATATATATGTATATATATGTATATTTACATAAATATATATATTTGAATATATACATAAATATACATATTTGAATATATACATAAATATACATATTTGAATATATACATAAATATACATATTTGAATATATACATAAATATACATATTTGAATATATACATAAATATACATATTTGAATATATACATAAATATACATATTTGAATATATACATAAATATACATATTTGAATATATACATAAATATACATATTTGAATATATACATAAATATACATATTTGAATATATACATAAATATACATATTTGAATATATACATAAATATACATATTTGAATATATACATAAATATACATATTTGAATATATACATAAATATACATATTTGAATATATACATAAATATACATATTTGAATATATACATAAATATACATATTTGAATATATACATAAATATACATATTTAAATATATACATAAATATACAAATTTGAATATATATATATATACATATATATATATATATATATATATATATATATATATATATATATATATATATATATAATGTACATATGTGTACATTTACTTAAATATACATATTTGAATATATATAGAATATATATATATATATATGTATATATATACATATATATATAATGTACTTATGTATATATACATAAATATACATATTTGAATATATATATTTAAATATGTATATATACATATATAAATATATATATATATATATATATATATATATATATATATATAAATATACATTTATGTAAATATTTATATACATATAAATATATATAGATATATGAAGCCTTGACAAAAGAAAGGCTTTCGTAATGGATTCTCGACAACAGACCATACCGCATATTTAGCTAAATAAGACAAAAATAAATAAAAATAGGAATTGTGTATGGCATTCGTAGACTACGAAAAGGCATTTACCTGTACAAATATCAGCAGTATTAGATGCTATTAGAAGACAAAGAATAAAAGTGTATTGTAAAAAGTGAGTTATACGAAGATCAGACAGCAACCATTAAGCTCCATACAGAAACCGATAAAATTCCAATTAAAAAGGTATTAGGCGGAGCGACACCATCTCATTAAACTGTTTACAGCGTGACTTGAAGAAATATTCAAGAAGCTAGAATAGAACGAAAAGGGTATCAAAATAGGGGACGAACACCTAAACAGTTAGATTTACAAACCATTATGTTCTTTTCGTCGAGTCTGGAAAACACGTTTGAAAGCTGGGCTTAAGATAAATAGGAAAATAACTAAAGTCATTTTCAACAGTCGAGGTCTGTTCGAACAGATCCTGATACAAGGCGAAGCTCTAAAGGTAGTGAACAAGTATACATCATTAGGCAACTCGTACAGTGAGAAAATAAAGAAATATTCTATGCTGGAGAACCTTCGGCAGACACAGTAGTAGTAGTATACTAACAGGTTCCTTGCCTTTATGTTTAAAAGAAGTCGGTTAAGATTTATGGTTCAGGGACATGGATTACGAACAAATTACTGGAGGGGAAATAGTAAGTGCCCAGAGAGGGATGGAAAGGTCGATACTGGAAATTAGCCTAAGAGATCGGATGAGGGTGATGTTGATCAGGGAAGATAAAAATGGAAGATATACAATGGAGCATTAAAAGAAAAAACAGGCAATGGGCAAATCGTATATCTCGGACAAAGAAGGTAACAGAAGGGGTATAGATAACATAAGGAAGCCAAGGGCCTTTCCAAAGACAAAGTGGCGTGAAGAAATTGCAAAATTTAGGGCCAAGACATGAAAGAAAAAAACACAAGAAAGGGAGGATAAAAAAAAAGGAGAGGTTTACGTCCTGCAATGGATTGATGTAGATTTATATGAATGAATGGATAATTATACATTAACCAAGACAAACAAATGAAAAAACACACACACATATATATACATATGTACATATATATATAAATATGTATATACATATGTAGGTATATATATAAATATATATATACATATATATGTATATTTATTAATATACATATAGATAATGTACATACATCCATACTTACATATAAATAAATAAGTAACCAGATATAATATTTACAATGTGTTTGTGTATATAAATATTTCAATTTATATGTATATATGTGAAATATGCATAAAATCAGACGCACTCACACATACACATTTTCATATATACATATATATACATATATATACATATATGTAATGTATATACATCTGTACCTACATTTAGATAGACATACATAATTTACATATGTATACGTATGTGTGTGTACACACATATGTATTTATACATGAATATATACATATAAGGACATATATGCATATACATGTATACTATATATAAATATATAAATATATGCATAACTATATATACATACATATATTTATACACAACTATATATACATACATATATTTATACATAACTGTATATACATACATATATATAATATATATACTTATATATATACATACATATACATAATATATATACATACATATATATATTATATATACATACATATATATAATATATATACATACATATATATTCCTCGCCTTGATATCGATTATATATCGAAACAGCAGTTATAAAATTTTCAGGTAAAAGAAGAGTGAAGTTGGAATGCAATTTTATAATTCACGATAAATAATGTACATTACAGGTCTTTCTTCGAATTATGCATAGCTAGGAGTGGTATGGTAGGAAGGAGTAGGAGCTGGTTGGTAGGAAGGAGCGGGGGCGGGTTGGTAGGAGCGAGAAGGGGCAGATTGGTAAGCTGGGTATTGGGCCTCTCCTTCGTAAGTAAGTTCGGCCACGAATCCGGAGTCGCCGTTCACGGTGTAAGCAACCCTTTGTACACGGCCATCGGGAAGGAGAACGTAGTAAGCTCCCTGAGTATCATAACCATTACGATTTTCCTGATGATTGTAGTCGTTGCCAGAGTAGTCGTCTTTCACTGCATAGTTGAAGTCGTACTGAGCGGGTCCCTGTTATAAAAAAAATGTTCTGGATAACCATTCATCTGGATTATTTTATTTTCTGTACTGCGCAATCACGTTAAAAATGAACGAATGAATTAATAGCTGATCTAGAAATTAGTTAAGTCCACAGAAAGATTCTGTGTGTGTGTTTCATCCATTATTACAATGCTCTTGGATGTATGAGAGCACGTTCATTTTAGTGTTTTTGCATATATATGTTATGCTAAAACGGTGATTCCTAAATCTTTTACAATCCAAATACACATTACTTACTATTTTATTCACAGACCCCCTTTTTTTTTCTTTCTTTTTTTTTCTTTAAGCTTTTACCGACTGATTATAGAATTTACACAAAATTATTTTCGGATATTCAGGGGTCCGGGAACCTAAGGAGATACAAATCAGGAATATATTTCAGTGCAGACTTACAGAAGGGGCAGGAGCGTTGTAGGAAGGAGAAGGAGCTCTGTAGCTCGGAGCAGGGGCACTGTAGGTTGGTGCCGGAGTATTATATGATGGAACTGTGCTGCCAAAGGCAACTGCCACCATGACGAATAATACGAGAGCCTGTATAACAAACGAAAAGAATAATGTTGATTGAATTTACTTAGTCACTCTGAATGTTTCTTTTCCTTTGTAGTTTCACATTAATCATGATATAACCAGTAATACGTGCAACACTGTGTACCTGAGGAGACATGCCAGTGGAGCTGAAGAGAGAATGAGTGCTGATGGAAGATAACCTGATGGCCGTTTTATAGGCGGGGTTCGGCCCGCAATATGATGTCAGCGCTCCAGGGGAGCCAAAAATAACTACGGTGGGAGAAAACAGATAATTTCTTTTGATTTCTCTGTCTTTAAAAGGGACGGGAATAATTTATAATATCCGGGCAATTCCAAGTAAAAAGACCAGTTCACTGATTTTATTTACAGATATCCATGTACAAGTGTAAATGCATAGATATGTATATGTATAGAACACACATGATTATGTAAATGTATGGGTATATATATACATATATATACATATAAGTATAGGAGCCATGGATTCAGTAATTAAGGGCATTTGGAGATGCCGGTACCTGTACAGAAGGAAGTGTCCTTGATGCTGTATACATGTATGTATGTATTTACATAATGTGCGTGCGTGCGTGTGTGTATATATAAACAAATAAATAAATGAATATATATATATATATATTGCTATTGATATATGTTTACATATATATATATATATATATATATATATATATATATATATGAGTGTGTGCGTACATATATAATATATATATACGTATATATGTATATATACATAAATATACATATATACGTTAAGAGACATGCAAATATACATACAAATATGTATGTGCATATATATATATATACATATATATATATGTACATGTATGTGTATATATACATATATATGTATATATGTATATATATGTACATATATCTACATATGTATATATGTATATATATGTACATGTATCTATATATGTGCATATGTATATATATGAACATATATCTATATAGTGTGTATATATATGTGTGTGTGCGTGTGTGTATGCCTGTGTGCTAGTGTGTGTGTATGTGATATATATATATTTATATATATATAATATGTGTATATATCTATAAAGGCTACAGAATAGACAGACTTTTGTAATGGATTCTCGACAGCAGACCATACCACACACTTAGCCAAATAAGAAAAATATGAATAAATATAAGAATTGTGCATGGCATTCATAGACTACGAAAAGGCATTTGACTCTGTACAAATACTAATAGTATAAGAAGCCATTTGAAGACAAAGAATAAAAGACTAAACGTAAAAATTGAAAGATATACGGAGATGGGACAGCAACCATCAAGCTCCATACAGAAACCGATAAAATTTCAATTAAAAGGTATTAGGAAGAACGACACCGTCTCATTAAACTGTTTACAGCTTGCCTTGAGGAAATATTCAAGATGTTAGAATAGAACGAAAAGGGTATCAAAATAGGGGACGAACACCTAAACAATCTGACTATTTGAAAGACGTTTGAAAGCTGGGCCTAAGATATAGGAAAATAACTTAAGTCATTTTCAACAGTCGAGGTCTGTTCGAACAGATACTGATACCAGGCGAAGCACTAGAGGTAGTGAACAACTATACATCACTAGGGCAACTTGTACAATGGGAAAACAAAGCAACATTCTATGCTGGAGAACCTTCGGCAGACACAGTAGTATACTAACAGGTTCCTTGACTTTATGTTTAAAAGAAGTCAGTCAAGATTTATGATTCAGAAACATGGACTACGAACAAATTATTGGAGGGGAAACTACTAAGTACCCAGAGAGGAATGGAAAGGTTCATGCTGGAAATTATCCTGAGAGATTAGATTAGGGTGATGTAGATCAGGGAACAGACAAAATGGAAGATATACGTAGGAACATTAAAAAAGACCAGGTAATGGGCAGATCTCATATCTTGGAGTAAAGGACGACAGATAGACAAAGAGAGTAACAGAATGGATTATAGATAACATAAGGAGGCCAAGGGTCTGATCAAAAACAAAATGGCGTGAAGAAATAGGAAAATTTGGGGGCCAAGACTTTAAAGAAAAAGCACAAGACAGGAAGAATTAGAAAAGATTGGGAGAGACTTACGTCCTGCCGTGAATTAATAAAGGCTGATGATGATACATATGAATGAATGAATAATTATACATTAACCTAGACAAATAAATGAAAAAAAATGCACATACACATATATACACATATATATACCTACAGAAACATATATAAATATGTATAAACATATATAGGTATATCAGTAATTATACATATAGATAATGTACATACATCCATATTTACATATAACAGATAGCCATATATAATATTTATAATGTGCAAATGTGTTTGTGTATATATATATTATTTATTTATAGACATGTATGGAATATATATAAAATTACACACACACACAGGCACAAACATATATATATATACATATACAATATATATACTGTCGCGATAGTTCAATGGTCCCTCGTGGTTACGACATATCGCATTGAGAAATGAAACGTAGGTGTTGTGTTGTTAGCGTACCCAACCGCGGTTGATTAGGAATGGTATCCAATCAGGCATGGGTGGCACTGCCAAATAATAGTGAACTGAGAGAGGCCTATGTCCTGCAGTGGAATGAATGGCTGTTAATATATATATATATATATATATATATATATATATATATATATATATAAATATACATATATGTATACATACATATGTATATATATATGTAT